TGTATCATCAATTACAAGAATAGATCTTCTGAACTCCATTTCCACATGAAAATAAATGATGGTTTACGGAACTGAATGTAATTTTCGTATGCTTACGATAGTGGTATCATTGTATCCATTTTGGATGTAGGTGTGGGTATGGGCGTCAGTCATATGAACGACTCACCAGCATCCACACCCTAAATCAATACAGTCTAATTCACAATATTCGCTCAATAAACTCAATATCAACTATTTGAATTCTCTTAGAGCTATAAGACTAATGAACATTATGTGGAATGTTGTTTGTACATTCAACGTAAGCTTTTTTCTCATTATTGACTCCACTCTTATTTAAAAAAAAAGGGTGTGGGTGTGGGTGGTGTGGGTGTGAGTGTGCGGGTGTGGGTGGGTGTGGGTGTAGGCGTGGGTGTGGGTGTGTGGATGTGGGTGGGTGTGGGTGTGGGAGTGGGGTGGGTGTGGGTGTGAGGTGTGGGTGTGAGTGTGAGTGTGAGTGTGGATGTTCTCTCTTTCACTATCAATAACCACACCCACACCCACACCCACGCCACCCATACCCACACACCCACTCCCACACCACCCCCACCCACACACCCACACTCACACCACCCACACCCACACCCACACCCTACCCACACCCACACCCACACCCTGTTAGCGTGTCCTACCGATATGGAGTAATAAGGAAAGTTTGAAATAAAAAAAAAATAAAAAATATTCATAAACGAAAAGTGTTGAGCACCTTTAGTATTCACTGTAAGATAAGATGAAGAGCTAAAACCACATTCGCAACGTCGCACACACAAATACTAACCACATTCACTTTCTTCAATAAATACAAAACATGATCCGTAAGCGTGTATCTCCTTTCAAGCAAAGTCTAAATTGAGCATAAGTATGAAAGCATACAGATGTTGTTATTTCTTTAAAATGGATGTTTGAGTGAACGGTCCGTATATCTTTAAAAATTTTCACATGTGCCACTCATAAATATCGACGATCTCTTTGTTACTTATGTCTTCTATTTTTCGAAGAAAAATTAAGTTATTGTGCACAGCAATGTCGATTACTTTTGATGATAGAACGACGTTTTGTTCGTATCGCTTAACATTATTGTCAAGTACATAACAATAAGATTTTTCATTCGCTCGAAGAAAGAATAGCCAGCCAGATTTATCCGGTAAGCTAAATAAACACTTGTTCAGAAGAGGATTATAATAATTTATTTTTATACGATGAAGTATTGACATGCCATGGTTTCTTAATTCAAAATAGTAGGAAGCGGTAACTTTCTTCTGCTGAAAACACTTGTTTTCGATTATGAGTGCATAGTGTAAGTCATTCATTCGAATACATTTTATTGATTCATCAGATCCACATGAAATTGGTGGCAACCATGAAGTCGGAGATTGGTTATTAGAATACCAATTCCTATCATTTGCTAACCACTTTTCGATTTTATTGTTTCTAACGATTAGAATGTGCTTCTCAAAACACGTGAACGTCGTGATGTTACGAGTCGAACAGGTATAGCGATCTGCTGTGTTGTTCAAAATTTCTTCATATGTTCCAGAAAATGGATCAAAATGATATATTCTACTCAAACATGAGCATGAATCATATTGTAAAATTAAAAATAATTGTAGGTAATCACACCACTCAAATTCGTTAACATCGTTTATTGAATGCAAGCTGATCCACGAGCCATCACTAGCATTGACGGCAGGTAATTCATTTTTAGACAAAAATGAAATCAATAAATCTCTGATTGGACACATAAAACCAAGTTTTGTTGGTAAGAGACCGATGGATTTCTTTGGTTTGTTTAATGTAAGAAGTTGATCGACATAGTGAACAGATGAAGTAAGGGAAACAGGTGGTTGAACGATTTTTTGAACTAAAACTAATTCTTTCGGCAAACGACTGATGTTAATGTCAATAGGAATATGTTCTAGGTTGTCTTTCAGCTGTTGAAACTGTTTTGTTAATTGGTCAATATCGTTTTCAAAATAATTTTCATTCTCACGCAATTTATTGATTTTATCAGTTAATGTAGAAAATTGTTGTTTTAAATTCTCGTATTCTTTAAAAGCTGCTTCATGTAGTTCTTTGCGTGCACAATCGGCTGATTGTTGAATCAGTTCAATTGTGTCTAACTCCCATTTATTGATTTTCTCTAATTGTATTTTGAAATCGGCAAACCACTGTTGACCGAATTCTTCTGAAAATTTTTCATGCAATGCATTTCTTTCATTGGCAACGGCATTATGAAATAAATCGGTGAGATATTGACGATGTTGTACACAATGTTCAACACAAAAATGTTTTTGACATCCAACACATAATAAAACACCCGGTTTTTGTTTATGTTGAGTGCCAAGTGTCTCACACGTGGGACAAAGATTCAACAGAACATCACAAGCCATTATTTATCAAAATAAAATGCCTGTTTTTATATGAGTAGCTTTTTGCACTAAACAAAGTGCTTCTGTAACTAGAAGAGCGGGAGCGTATAAAAAAACACCATCAGCATAATTACATTACTATTCTTTCGAGAAAAAAACTTACCAACAAAGCACAACACATGCACCATGACTATTGATTATGTTTACACAGAAAACAAACAAATTCAAGTATGAAAAGTATATTGTGAATTTTTCTGTAACATCAGCAACTGTAAATGTAGATATCAAGATGATGTGCGAAATTTTTCTTTGATAATCATGCGTATACGAGTGTTTACAATAACAAACGCACCACATCTAAATTTGTACACTGACACTGACAGTTAGACACTCAGCATATGAAGCGTGTAAGTGTGGGTTAAGAAAAGAAAAACACCCACCCCGAAATTTACACGATTCTTGTATTTCATGAAAAATACAACTGAAGGTGTGGGTGTGGGTCTGGGTGTGG